GGGGATAGAGCACTTTTAAGGGTCAATTTTTGCCCTCCTGTGAAACAATTTATCTTGTGGGAATGTGGGCTGCAGCTTAAAGACTATTCACTTCACCTCTGAAATAATCTTTATCAGAAACAAGGGGTGACCAGAAGATAACTTCTGAGGTTCTGAAGCAAATTGCACCCTCCAAGACCCTATGTGAACCATCTCCAGTCCATGTAAATACTCAACTAGCTATGTAAACAGGCACATCAGGTATGAAAGGATCAGTTGTGAAGAGAAGTCAAATCCATTTCATTACACCATTTTTAACCACTGCTACAACCTAGGGTTCATGGAGCCTAGGATGTATTTGAACTTGAATAGGCAAGCTGACCCAGTGAAATGCAAAACAGACCACCAGTATTCAGCACCTGTAATTAAAATAGCTATCTCTGTAGCCCATCTTTTCCAAACTTGTTACAATCTGTTTTCCGTTTTTAAGTCATGATCATGAATTAAAGGACGGTTCTAGTCAAGATTCTGATGAGAATGTTATTTTCTACAAGATTGTTTCTGTTAAGAGTTTGCTGCTGTCTTCGTTCTTCCCAGCCTGGAATTTCCTATTTATTGGGGGGGGGGGGTTTAGCACTGTGTGGCATGTACGGATGACACAACCTGTAGATATATGAACCAAGAAACAAAACCACAGCTGTTGGTTCTAAATTTAAACCCAAGAGCCTGTGCCGGCCCCGTTCTGACTCCACAGCAAAGCTACAGCAAAACTATTTGTGGAGGTCTCTCAGATAAATAACTTGAGGGAATTATTGAAAAACAAAAACCAAGAACTGTTTAGTTGAGCTATGTTTCTTCAGTTTTTCACAGTAAGTACTGATTTATTCTTCTGAGGGAGAAAGATAATTGGCTGTAAATTCCATTGTACCATGTGCCATAGCTTTGCAGATATCTATACAATTCATGTTTTGAAAGCAGCACTAAATCGGTGTGTGCCTGCATACGTATCTGAAATTTCTCAATATGCTTGCATTTTCAATTATGTAGGTCAATTTTTAAGATAGCACATTCATCAAAGTCTCATTTTTGAAACAAATTGTAGTCATATGAATACAAGGTATTAATGAGATTTTACATCATCCCCTAGGAAGGCTCTGATGCTGATATCACCCAAGCGAGCCATCTTCAGGAGCTAATAGAATAATCATTTAGAAGAAGAGGAAAGTGAATAGCTGCCAATCGAAAAAGCTTTAGTGCTTATCAGTCAGGGTGAGGTGTTAGGTGTGCATATGTGTAATTCAAATATATGTAATTCATGCAGGCGTATTTCAGATTTTCAGTCAGTGACTTAAATAATGTACTGTATCACTAAGTGAGTGATACAATTGTGGTAATGTCATTTATAGTGGTTATTTATTTTTTCTAGAACACTTTATATTTTAAATATTTTAATTGCCTTTATGGTATTTGTCAGTTCTAACTGAATGCTATTCTGTGAACTGAAGATGACAGTGAATTTTCCAAGACTACTTAAGAAATCTTATATTCAGGTGGCACTTAGATGACCCCCCCCCCCCCGGCAAAAAAGCCCATTCCATTTGTTTTGAACCACAATAACTCAAAGTTTTCTGAATGCTAGGAAAAACAGGCTCAATTTCCTGGACCAGATAAGGAATTTCAGTAGAAGATTGTGAAGTTCAGAGAGCCTGTAAGCAAAGCATGGATGCCCAACTTCTGAAGGATAGGGATTCCATTCCTACTCTAGAACTGCAGAAAAGTCAAATGGAGAATCTTAGCCAAAGGCAGGTGGCATGTCTCTGCATGTGTGTTAATATAGCCTTCACTAAGAGCAAATGAGATGTGGGGCTACTTAGAAAATCCAGTGTTGATGATGGCACAGGATACCCCAGAATATCTGGATAAATCATAGAGATTTGCATTCACCATTGACTGCATAAGAAAGAGATTTTGCTGATTCCCTTGCTAATGCAATTGTACTGAGGTTGATACTTAATTTCTAAAAACAGTCACCATACTCCCTGAATGTATGCCATACCTTCTGACCTAAATACCCTGCCCAGTGCCAAATCTAGGTGAGTTGCTGGTGATTGCCCAAAATTGCAACAGAAGAATTTTGTACTAAAGACCATACTTAATTTAGCTGGCTTACCTCAGCTTACTTTCCACATATTGGGACTGAGTACCTTTTCTAGTTCTGAAGGTGAGTTCTGTGCCTTACTAAAATCTTGCTCAAATTGAAACTGAGGTTTTAATTTGAGGTGTGTGTTGTGCTCTGTACATAAATTGCTGTGCACTTGTATGAAAAAGCAAAGCCAACAATGTGACCAGTGTAAAACATAAAAACTGGAACACCTTAATTTATAATTCTAAGTCAAAGGGAGTTGAGAACTAAAAAGTACGGAGTGTTAACAGTTGGTCATTTGAAGAAAAATAAATGGAAGAAGTAGTATGGAAGTCCTCAGTGGCTGAGAAATATTGGAGGCTAGTTTGAATGTGGCACAGCAACATTGCTTAGTGTTATTTCATCTGATGTCACAGTAGCCATGATGTCATTCAACCTCCAGTGGGAGAGGAGCACGATGAAGAAAAAAATAAGCTAAAAGGACAGTAATCTAGCCCTTTCCACTATGAGTCTGTTATTGATTAGTGGTAATGTTTGAAAAAGGGTATATTGTACATCATCTATGGCAAGAATAGGGGAAAGATATTGTAGCGGAATCCAAAAAGGTGACGTCATTCCTGCCTGTCAATCACAGCAGCTAAGGGGGAGGAGCCAAGGATAGAGCAGGAAGGGCGGAGCTAGAGTGACAGTTGGAGGGAGTTGAAAAGACAGTTAGGGACAGTTGGAGTTAGGGAGAGGTGGAAAGAGTCAGGGACCAGAAGATGTATAGAGAGTGTTAGGGTTTAGGAATAGATCAAAGGGGTTTAGGAAAGGAAATTAAAACTAAAACATGGACCAGCAGGAATGAATGTATAAGCCTAACAAGAGAGATATAAAATTGATAGTAAAGTGATTGACTGCATGATCCTAAAAGTATTAACACCTGAACCAACTCATATATGATTTTCCTGTTGAATAATAATAAAAGAATATTTAATCAATCATAAACCCTGCTTCCTAAAGTATATTACCTTTTGGGGTGGCAGCTCCTGTGTGGGACTTGAAGTGGTATTAGGGAATACCTGGTGGCAGCGAAAAAGGGTGTGTGTTCCTTTGTGAGGCCCAAAGAAATAGGGGCAACAAAGGGTTGATCGCCACAGATATGTTTAAGCAGAGCTGGGAAGACTTACTTTTTTGAATAGCAACTCCTAGAATCCTATGCAGCATGTTATAGTCCAAAAATGTACATTTTTCTAAGTTCTGGATTCATGTCAGTGGTTGAATGGATCACTTGGGATTGTTTTGGGTGGTATAATAACCTTTTACATAATGAGATCACCCAGGACAGTTCTGGCTGGAGGCAATATCTCTGTTACATGACTGAAACACTGCAGCCTATTTTGGTTCATTTCCTACTTAAGAATTTTCCCGTGTACCTCAGCATTCCTGGTCAAATTAATTTGGGGCAGTTGTAAAAACAAAACAAAACAAAACAAAACAAAAAGCCCTACATAACACATACTGTGATGGGAATATAATTGCCTCTATCTGTGTGTGTCTGAAAATAACAGAACCTTAGTCAACATGCACAGGTCATTCGCATACACATGGCAGCTCCTGTACTTCAGTAGTCACTGACTGACCTGTCTCTTCTTGCCATAATTCTAAGCACATAATGTGAGCATGTTTCAGTTTCACCAACTTGAATGTAGCTGAGCTGGATTCAACTGCTCGTGTTTTTATTACAACAGTATAAGAACTGATTGATGTGCTCAATGAGAAGTGGTAAATAATAAATACAGGCTCTAATGGTGTGATCCTACCAGTATCACAGCATGTGATAGTTCTGTTGAAAAAAGGTCTGTTGAAACAGAAACAGAAAATAAATGGACTGGTAAATTGCTCGTTCATAAGACAGGATTTGTAAGGTAAGTGGAAGGGGGTGGCAGTTGTAAGGGTGAACAAAATGCAAAATAGCGTTGGCACCCCATTCTCTTTCAAAAGATCTTAGGGTCTTAAATCTTTTTCAAACTGCATAATTTATTATATCAAGAATCTCAACACAGCTTGATGGTTTTGAGTTAGAACCCTTACTGTGACTATGTGACTTGTTTATTAAACAATAAACATTATAATTAAAATTATTTAACATTTGGAGTTACATATTTATTCCAAGAACAGCATTCATAATAGTAAAGCTTCTGCGCTGTTCATTTGAATATGTTTATAGTGTTTATATGTCACATATACATACAACAACAAAAATATGGGTGGCTCAGAAAAAATAGATCCGAAAAACAAGATATTTTGTATACGTATATGTGGAACTCCCCCAGAAGATACCTTAGAATCTTTTATTAATATAAAATTTAGTTGACAGGATGCTACTACTCACATTTAAAGATCAAGTATCTGAAGGACAGCCTCTTCCACATTTGTATTTCTATTCCACCTTGTGATTTGGTTAACCTCTCTTTGATAATGGTTTTTAACCATTAGTGTATTTATTATATTTGATTTTAATTGAAGTACAGTCTGCACTGTACTTCATCATCCTAGATTCCAAATTTAATGTTGGGTAGTATGGAAATATTTTGGACTGAATCCCAATCTCAATTAGAGCAAACCACTGAATAGATGGCATTACTTGACAAGTTCCATTAATTTCATAGATCTTTTGCGGTTGGGAGAAACAAGCAAAAGGCTTTTCTAAACTTCAGACGTGGAATTATCTTGGACACATTTAGATTATTGGCTGGGCACTGTTGTCTGTGTTTTGCATTAAGCAGCATGGCAATTCCAGGTAGCTGTCAGTGCCCAAATATGGTTTGCCTACCTCCTTTTTCTCTTGTACATCTCCAATTGGCAGCCTCTGTTGAATTGTGACTGTCTTTGACAGGCAAATACAGAGCCACCCAAGACAAGAAGGGATGATTCAAAAAGCCGAAGTGCTTTGTTACACGAAATCCAGAGAGGGACTCGTCTGAGGAAGGTAGCACAAATCAACGACCGAAGTGCACCGCAGATTGAAAGTGAGTCAGACTTGTTGGCTTCTGAGAATTGTCAAAACAGTGGGCATCATCCTATTTTTAAGTTGTGGGAGGAGACCTTTGTTTTGTGCAGTTGATTTGTTTGCTTTGAGCTTGGTTACCAAACCTGAGCCAGTACTGTGTAAATAAACCAGTTTTATTTGTGCCATGGAAGTAGCTTGTATAGCGTTGTCCAACTTAACCTGACTGATTTCCACCCTTTTTCCTAAGGACCCACACCTTCCATTGTGAGCAGCCTGCTTTCTGACATGAGGTAACCAGAGCTGGAAAAATTACTCTTTTGGACTTCAGCTTCCAGAAGCCAACCTGACAAGAGGATACTGGGAGTTGTAGTCCAAAAAGTAACTGTTGAAGCTAACAGAAGGCACTCCTAAACACCATAGCCTCTTGGGCTTTCAGTGACTAAGATTAATTGAGGAACACCTCCAAGCTACTTGCCTACTCCTTTCCTGGGAAGTGTGATTGCATTCAGACCAGACAGATTGCCTGCCTTTGGACCCACTAATCATTGGACCTTCAACTTGTCAAGATTCCATTTCATTTCTTTAGCCCTCATGTGGCTCATTGCTGGATAGAGATGGGCACAAATTGCATTTCAACCCAGTTTGGCGCCATGCCTGCACAAGTGTTGCATGGGTGGTGCACACTCCCCTTTCCTGCCACCTTTGTGTGCTTACCCATTCCCCAGGTGATGCACGGTTCCCTTCTTGTCTCCTTGGTGAGACTGCCCATTTACCAATCACAGTGCATGCTTCCCTCCTTCCCCTCCTCTAGTGGCTGCCCACTCAAAGGCAGCACTGCAGGCTTCTCTCGCCCACTTCCTTGTCTGAGTGAGTGGCAGAATAAGCGGAGGAAAGAAGTGATTAGTGAGTGGGCAATCACACAAAGGAGGCAGGGAGGGAAGTGCATTTTCCAGGGAATGGGAGAACATGCAGAAGAGGTGAGTGAGGGGAATGCGTGTCTCCCGCACAACAACAGTGAGCGTGGCACTGAAATGGGCTGAACCACCGAAATGTGATTCATGTTCCTGATCCAGAAACAGGTTCAGAACATATCTAGTGCCTCCTGATTTGAATGCCATGAGGACATCTTGGGTATCATTACCATACTGATTGTCAGAGATTGAAAAAGTGATTACAGTGCCACCAAATCTCCCAGCTACCATAGGAGGCAGCAATGTTTTTGAGAAATAGCAACTGGTGCCACAGCCTAACAACCAGTGTGCTGTGCATGATATGCCAGAGGAAGACACAGTGCAAGAAGAAAAAGTATTGGTAACTCTTAGCTACTTTGTTATGTCTTTAATATAACAATTTTCTTTTGTCAGACAGTAGAAGAAGAACAAGTAAGGATGGAGGAGGCTCTGGAAATGGGAGGAATGATGTTCCTCAGGCACTAGGGAACCTTTTTGCGGAGGGATTTCCTGTTCTAAGACCAGTTGGCCAAAGAGACTTAACAGGTAAGAATACTCTGTCTAAAGGCAGCATCCTCTTGTCTCTGGAGTATTTATAAACAAATCAAAATATATGTGTTTTATTTACAATAGAAACCCACAATGAGAGATGTTGGCAGGTCTTGGGGTCTGAGTCTTGCACCCGAGTCTGTTACCAAGCCCCAAGCCCAAGTCCCTATTTAAAAACAACCTTTTCCCCCCCAGAAAAAAGGGAGAGAGTAGCTGGGTTGTGAGTTGCAAGTCAAGTCCAAGTCATTTTAAAAAGAAAAAACTAAGTCAAGTTTGAGTCGAGTCATTGGTGCGACTTAGGTCTGACTTGACAGCAAGTTCCACGACTCAAGTCCCCATCACTGCCCAGAAGTGTTAGAATTTATACAATGAGGACACTTTCAAATGGAAATCCGCCCAAGAGAAATCAGCTGGCATCATCACTGGTAACAATTAGCTGCCAGGATAAGACCTTCCTTTTCCTGCATGCATTAAGTCATGCTACTGTTTAGGTTTTACTGCTTCCTCTTAATGTCATTTTAATAGTCTTAACATTCTGATATTTTAACATCAGGATTCCATTTCAGGAGACTTGCTTACCTTAATTGTAAAACTCATAATACCATGAGTATTATTCCAGCTTCCAAGTGGATGTCTTGGAGTGAGAAATAGGTGTGTTAGGGCAGGGAACAGGGGGGAGGATTTATTGGAGAGTAGGCTTACATGTCCACACAGCTTCTGTGCTGCTGGCAGTAATCGAAAGGGAATATTTTCAATACATAGGTAGTTTTTGGCTACTTTATATAAAGAATATTCACCATCAGACAAGAAAAATGAAATAAAAGCTATTGAAATACAACAAAGGAGAGAAATTTATGGGGGAGAGAATACATACAATAAGCCATTGTGCAGCTTTGACAGTAGGGCAATAGCAAGTGATTCTAGGCCTACCCTGATTCTCAGCTTTTGTCTCACCTTTCGACATTATGACTCCAATGTACATGAATCATGATCACTTCTGAGGGGGAGGTGTGAATTTCTCAGCTCCTCCAGATAGAGCAGTTGTCCCCCAGCCCCAGCGCTTTCTGAAACTTGGTGCAGGAGTTTTGTCCTTGACAAAAAGGGCAAGGAAGATGCTTCTCTTTTAAAAAAAAATATTTTTCTAATATTAAAAATGCCAACTTTCCTGCTTGGGCTTCTCTGCTGGAGTCTTTTCTTCTTTGTAAGGTGCTTTTGAATGCTAAAGGAAAACTTTAAACCAGGAAACTCCCATCCAAACATAAAGCTGCAATGAAAAGTATCATAGAGTAAGCCACACTCCCATGCCTTGAAGAACAAAGCAAACTAAAAAATAAACCATGGTTTGAGGATCTATGTAAAAAACACAGGAAGTAACGGATTTTGTCATTGTATTCATGGGACAAGGTAAACATCATTTGGGTGACAGGAAGCGCACAGATAACATTGGCACTGAACCAGGAACATGATGGAGAACAAATGCTCCATCAGGATAGGCCCTCTGTTAAGCCATAGTGGAGCCAAGTGGTTGTGTTTTTCAGCTGTCTGTGCCCTTGGAAGTAACCAGGGCACTGCTTGTGCTACAACAACAAACATTTCCTATGTGGAACTGGAATGACAGGTGGGAAAAGGAAATTTAGGATAGGAGAACACTATCTTCGTTTATAAAGTGTTTTTCTGGGGAAAAATCTTGTGTTTTTTTAAATCCACTTTTGATTATTGGATTTACTTGATGTATGGATAATATGTGCAATTTATAAAATTTTTGCCACACGTGGATTTATCTATCTTCTAAATTTCTTGGCTGGCTTCTTCTTCAGGCAATAAGGCTGGGAAGCCATCTGCTGTACGAATGTCCCTGCCTCTAAAATCTCCAGCCCCACAGAACAATAGTGGAAAAGCCAATGGCAGCCATGAAGTTACACCTGAAAGCACCACACCAACAGACCAGTCAGAAGAATGTAAGGCCCAGCGAGCAGTGCCAATTCGTCCCAGTATTCCTGCTCCTCCACCGCCACCGCCACCTCCTCCACCACCTCCGCCACCACTGCCACCTTCCAGTGGCAAACCTTCACTCATCTTCCCTCCTCCCCCGTCACTTCCTCCTCCTCTGGCTGAAAACCACGACAAACTCGTCTCCCCAAACTTTGCTACAGATGCTACTTCACCCCCTCAGAAAGATGGGCCTCCTAAGGCTCAGTCCTCCCCCTCACACATGCCACCTCCACCACCTCCCTTGCCAGTGGCACCACCTTCTGGGCTTCCAGGCAGAACAGGTGAACGTTCCTCCCAGCTTGATTTAAGAACTAACCCAACACCCACCCTGCCTCCCCCTCCCCCACCTCCTATGTCCACCTTTTCCTCACACAGAACATCTTTGTCACTACCATCTTCGCCAACCACTAACAGTGCCTTGTGTGACAACAATGATGCTGCCCCTCCATTGCCTCCCAAGTCACTATTTGTGCAATCTCAGTCTCAGAAGCCCAGTATTCAGTCGCTGCCTCTACCCCCTACTCCTCCTCCTCCTCCTCCGGCCACACAGCAAGCTGCTGTCATGCAGAAAAGACGACACGGGAGAGGCGCAGGTAAGAATTACACTCTTTCACTGTGCCCTCACTGGTTTACATCCTGTTATGACTTAGGCCCTTCTGGTATGATTTGCTTTTGCAGGGGAGAGAGCTAGGGGAGAAGATAAAGGCATAGATCAGTCTTCTGAAATCTTGTGAATATGTACAGTTGTATGCAATCAATGAAATAACAGGAACAAGTTGATGAGAAACACATAAACAGAGCAATTCAGGATATGCTGAATGTGTGACTGTTGTGTCCAGTTAAAAAGAGAGGAAAAAAATCTTTGTGCATCACCAAAACAATTTTTTTTCACTCTCCACAAAACAAACTTCTAAGTGCAGAAAGAGTTTTGTTGTGGTTTTAGTTGCATAAATTGTATTTAAGCCTGCATTTCCTCACATAGTTTTATGTGCTAAAATTCCCTCAGGGCTGTTTTATGGCAATGTTCTGAATAGGTACGTATGCAGAAAGTTCTGTATGGTAAATTTTGTTCTTAGCTCTGAACAAAACACTGTTTTCAAGTATTTGCCAGTCTGCAAGTTTCTTAGGCAAAGCAAGAAGTGGGCGGTACACATGCACCCTACTTAATTTTGCATTTCCCTATCCCGCCAAGAAAATGTCCCTCACTGGAAAAAGGAGAATTTGATGGATGTGGACGCCTCCAGAATAAGCATTTGTCCTTTTAAAAAAAAGGCATCACCCCCTCCACAAACATGCCTTTTTCACTTTGTGAAACCGGAAGCAGACTTCTTACCACTTCCAGTTTTGTGTTTTCAGGTAGTGCAGCCCACAGTAAGCTGCAACAGATGGTTGGAATATTGCCCCCCAAACCCTCAGATTTTGCCCATGCCTGGATGTCCCATTAGAACTGGGAAGCTCTTAGTTCAAATCCTTGTTTAGTCATGACCATGAGTGACCTGTGCTACTCACTGTATCCTTGTCAAACCTACCTCACCGCTACAAGGCTAAAATGTGTGCCGCGGATCCTTCATCAAAAGGATGTGATAGAAGTATAATAAGAATGAAAATATTTGATGGTTTCTACTGTTTACTTTTCATAGGCAAGTTGATGCCACCACCTGTTCCTCCTGCAAGATCCCCAACAACTGAGCTCACAAGCAAAAGCCAATATGCTCACGTATCTCCATGGCTGGTTACCCATGAGCTCCCAGCACTTAAGAATGGAACTGTGCACATAATGGGTAATGTTGACACGCCGGTATTTCTTTACAGTGCACCAAGCTGCAAACAACAGGTCATATCAATAAGACATCTCAGGTCAGGGAGTACAGGGGCCAGTGGATTTGCTGGTCCTGCCAGCTGGTCTGTTGCTGCTCCGAACTGCTCTACTCACCATTCATTGCTGCTTCTTGCTTTGACATGACAGAGCAGGGAGGACAGATTTGCACCCATCTTCCTAGCTCAAGCAGCAGGAGCTTTGGCTGTTCCCCAGCGTGAGACATGCTGAAAATAGAAGAGCTTTTCTTCTTGCAGAATGGCAGGTTTAGTCATTCTTGCAGACTTGTTAAAAAAAAGTTCTCTTGTTAATTATGGCAACATAAACTGAACTGTGTCTTAGAATAAGACTATAGCAGGCAGGCATTATGTAATTTTGAACTTCTTTGCTGTAGATAAGAAATACAAATGAAACTTACACAATAATTCTAAGGTTGCACACCTGCTTGTGGTGCAGTGGTTAAACTGCAGTACTGCAGTAAAGACTCTGCTCCAACCTGAGTTCAATCCTGGGCTCAGGTAGTCAGCTTAGGTTTGATTCAACCTCCCATCCTTCTGAGGTCAGTAAATTGAGTACCCAGCTCATTGAGGTGGGGGGAAGATGTGTGGCTTGCATAATTAAACCGTAAACCACCCAGGCAGTGCTTTAGCAATATGGGGCAGTATATAAGCAGCACACTTTGCTTTCCTTTTTTTTTCTTTTGCTTGCCATGTAGCCAACCAATCAGTTTTTAAGCATGAGTTACGATATAGGATGGATTATTAAAAATTAATCTTGACTGAATTTGAAGAAATTATTGAGAAAAACGGAAGAGATGAAAGAGCCATTCCACAGAAAAGGGATAATAAGTGTAATATATAAGATGTTACTTGAGGATGACTATAAAACAACAGCATTAAAACAGGTATGCCAAGGAAACTTTAACAAAGAAATTAAGGAAGCAATTTGGAATGTGACATGGGGAAAAAGAATAATGAAAAACATGTCAGTGTAAGTAAAGGAAAATTATTATAACATTATATGGAGATGGTACTTAACACTAGCAAAACTGTATATGATGAATAAAGAGGTATCACTTCTATGTTGGAGAAGGAAAAAAGAACATATTTTCATATGTGGTGGATGTGTGAAGAAAAACAAAGGAATGGAAAATGGTATTTAGTGAGATAAAGGAAATTATAGGGATAAATATAGAAAAATGTCCAAGGATAGCTTTGCTAAACATAGTTAGGAACTTCCAAATAGAAAAAGGGGTAAACGAACTGGTTATAATTATGGCAACCGCTGCAAGATTAATAACTGGAAAAATAACAAGCAGTTGAGTTTACAAGAATGGTATGATGAAATATGGAATTTAGCCATCAATGACAAACTGACATGTGAACTGAAAGTTAGAAAAGGGCAGTTGAAAGAGAATGTTTAAAGTCAAATTTGGAACACATTTATAGAACATGTATTTTTAAAACATAGAGGATATACTCCACCAGAAGAATCAATACAGTTTTGGAAGGAGACGGGATGCACAAGTTAAAACAAGAAACGAAATTCTGAAAGCAATTATAGGTACATGTAGTAAATGCATTGTTATATAATTCTCAAGGTGGAAGTCAATATAGCACAAATGTGTTGTGAGGAATATATGTGTTACTTATGTTGTAAATTTATATAATAAAATTAAAATATTAAAAAAATTTAATCTTGACATGTATGGTTTACTAGGCAGATCATTTGTAGGCTTAAGACTTAATAGGTGGAAGGATCAAATCTGTGGAATAGAGGGTTATCACATTTTAAACATTTGTCTATATTATGTCTAGAGATGGGTACAATATGCAGTTTGGCAATTCACCTGGATTTGGTATGGTGCTTGTCCAGGTGTTCTGCAGGCAACATGTACTTCCGTCCCCCGCCTCCTCTGCATGCTTGCTCACTCACCAGCTACAATATACTTTTCTCCTCTGCCTTCTTTACTTGATCAACTACTCAGATGAGGAGGCGGGGCAGGGAAATCTGTGGCTCTGCCAGTGAGTGGACAACCATGCAAGGAAGGCAGAGGAGGGAAGTGTGCTGCGGCTGGTGAGTGAACAATTGCACAGAGGAGGTGGGGGAGCGTGCTGCAGCCGGTGAGAAGTGTGTGGCACCCGCGGAACACCTGTGTGGATGCTTTGCTGAACCAGGCCAAACTGTGGTTTGTGCCCATCTCTAATTACGTCTTTACAGTTCTTTTAATGGAGGACTGGGAACCATGTGGACCTTTATGTGTTGTTGGGTTGCAGTTCCCACCAGCCAAAGGAAGTAGCCAGTGGCAGGGAATGATGGGAAGAACAGTAACATCTGGAGGGCCATGCATTCCCTTCCTTACTGTAATATATGTAGTGTGTCTATGTGAGTCTGTGCATGAATTAAACCCTTGATTGTTTCTTGTAATTAAAAGTAGTCTTTTTTAATTTATTTAAATCTCTCCAGATGACTTTGAGTCTAAATTTACTTTCCATTCTGTGGAAGAATTTCCTCCTCCAGAGGAGTTTAAACCATGTCTGAAAATTTATCCTAGCCAAGAGGCTAGAGGTAAGTGGGAAATGTTTGTTACAATGTGGTCACTTCTGTAGAGTTTCTTATCTCAGAGTAGCTTTTTGGGTTGATTGAATGATAATGATCCTACCAAATGTTGTAAGAACCAAGAGAAATGATCCAAAATGGAGAAGATGCTCACCAGCCAGAAATCTGTTTATTTCAGATCTTGTAGTTCAAAGGAATCCAGAAGTATTTTAATAAGGAACAAGTTGTTATTTGGCAGGTGGCAAAATGCCTCTTTTGAATATGATACAAATTATTTTGGTTACAGTGCATGCACAGAATCTCAGTTAATATTCTGAACTAGATAAAATGACTTGTGGAAAATAGCACTTCACTTTAGTAGAGTGTAATATTTTGAACACACCAAATTCTTAAGCTGAATCGGGCAATGATGAATGTTGGTATCCTTGCTGCCATTATCACTTCTTCACTGGCAGCAAATAAGGTTCATGCAAAGAGAGTAGCGTTGCTATGGCTACTTTGTTGGCAATTTCTACTCTTGGCAGATATGGCAAATTGATTTTATTACGGGATGCACCTCGCTTAACGATTACCTCGTTAAACTATGAAACCACTTTACGATGAAGTTTTTGCGATCGCTATTGCGATCGCAAAACAATGTTCCTATGGGGAAAATTCGCTTAACGATGATCGGTCCCCTGCTTCGGGAACCGATTTTTCGCTAGACGATGATTTTAAAACAGCTGATCGGCGGCTCTAAAATGGCCACCCGCTGTGCAAAATGCCTCCCCACTGTGCTTTAGGATGGATTGCTCGCTTTACAGGCACCGGAAAATGGCCGCCCTATGGAGGATCTTCGCAAAACGAGCAGGTATTTCGCCCATTGGAATGCGTTGAACCGGCTTTCAATGCATTTCAATGGGTTTTTAAATTTCGCTTGACGAGGATTTCACTTAACAGCGATTTGAACAGAACGAATTATCCTCGTCAAGCGAGGCACCACTGTACTGTTAATAGAGAAGCACAGCCTCGAGTCATAAGTGAGTATGAAAGTGGCTATAGGGACTACTTCTGCAATGAGAGTTTGAAAAAACTTCACTTCTTGGTCTGCAACCATCAGAATTCCCCAGCCAGGCTTGGGTACGATCTCATATGGCCCATCCCTGAGCTGGATGCTGTATCATGGTATTTCATAGCAGGAGAATTTTCCACTACTATCATACCACTATATCTGTATCACATGCAAGCCACAAAAGTCACCTGCCTCATTGAGTTTAGTGAGGGATCTTGAATCCATGCTGGCTTGTAAACTATGCTATCAGTCTTCTTGGCTTCAACTGTATACATTCATTTAATTTTCATCAACAGTTTTACAAATCTTATAGCTGGCTTTCTCTTTCATTTTTACAGATAGCACCAACAATCCTCTCATAAGAGCACAAGTGAGATGAGAAGATCCATGCATGTCGCAGCAGGAGTGTTGCTGAAAAGGTCAACAGTTGTATTATAAAATATAGAACTCTTGTTTTCATAACCACACAGTACGTGTGGCTAAAATTACACTATGTTCAAGACCATATGTGCTACCTACTGCTTGTGAACACTGGATGGAGTTGGAATGGTGGTGCATGGACTGCTAGGGGTTGAAATGCGATTGTTTTTCAGTTTCAGCTGCGTTCAAATGGACCTGAAATTCCATGGAGTCGCCACTCTGTTTATTTTAATAAATTTCATGGAATCCTCAGGATAGCTCAAGTAGGTCAAGTCCATAATGTAGGTCTGTCTGTATATGGCATACTTTATTTGGCCATAAGTACTCACAGTGAGAAGAAATAGTGGTTAAATTTGTAATTAATTACAATGGTCAAAGTTCCTACTTGTATTATCTACTGAACTTCAGCCTACTCCACTATATACACTCTAATTCCAGACTGGATTTGTTGTATTTCAATAGGTTGAAAGTTACATTTTCTCTTCTTAAGAAATCTACGTACTGTAACATTGTGTAAATTAATGTCTTGTGGGTTCCCTGAAGTGACTTTGCAGTTGTATGGCACTCCAGTGAAATACAACCTGTATATATATTTATATATGAACACAAAGGTTGCTGGCAAAATCTTACCCACTGGCAAAGCAGAGGCTTGACATTAGTTGCATATATATCTGTGAGAATACCACTTTATCTTAGATCTCCTAGGCTTGGATATGTCCACCTTTGAGTGGAGAAGAACAACCTACAAGTTAAATAGCCTTTTAAAGGAAGTACGATAGGGCATGACAGAATATGCATTGTCCAGCAAACCTCAGGTTTTAAAATAGAGGTCCTGTCACTCACTACCAGATGTCTGTTCGTGGGCATTTTAGCACAATATATTTATGATGCTGCTATAGAAGGCAAGGGTCTTAGACACCCTATTACCCAGCAAATCTTAGAAATCAAATTAGATATTATATGGCAGACATACCTCTTCTACCCATATTCCAACAAAATTACTTTTAAGCAAAATGTATTTATGTGCAGGGAATAATTATAAGTGCACCCCACCTCAGTCAGTAAAGCTGGTCTTAAAAGTTTGTTTTAAATATTTTTCTTTTAAATTTAAATAAGGCATGTGGTACCCACATAAAATTTGATTCATTGTGCTTTAAAAGGGAAATGTGTTTTCAGTGGGGGATCTTCACAGCCTTCAGAATAAGTGAAGGGCATGTTGTCCACCTCTGAACTATGGAAACCTTTGAGAGGTAGAGTTATGGGTATATAGGTAAAGGTAAAGTTTCCCCTAGTCCTCTGAACTATGGAAACCTTTGAGAGGTACAGTTATGGGTATATAGGTAAAGTTTCCCCTAGTCAAATTTGTCCAGTCGTTTCCGACTCTAGGGGGCGGTGCTCATATACTGAATGTTAAAGACTTAGAATGTTAATCACTTAGAAAAGAGTGTTAAGACACCACATGTATAATTTATTTCTTCTTTCATACTTGCATCCTACTGTAGCTACTTCTCCTTAAAAGAAAAACACAGCTTGTGACCTTTACATATATCTGCTATGTAATGTCCAGCCGCTCATTAAGAGTGGAATATCAGCATCTCTTCTATACTGCAGAGGTCTTTGCTCCTTATTTAAACAGCACGAGCTATTTAATTTAATAACTTAAAATACCATCAGTCTTTAAACCATTCTGCATAAATGCTATTTTGATCCTTCTCTCAGAGGTAGGGAGCACAGTACCTACTTTAGAATGAAGATTGATCCTGTTGTGCTTTGGTATGGCAGCAACAAGGAAACTACTATCTGCATCAATCAAAGCATTAAATCCCTGCGCATAGTTTATACTTGCTTTTCAAATATGGGGACAGCATCACTAAACACTAAATTATGTTTTTTGTTCAGGATAGAGGAACCAGGAAATAATTGTGTAGGAAACATCTCTAGAAGTTATTTACTCTTGGCTGATATTTGAAATTCAAGAACACACAAGATATACAAAGGGATTTCTGCTTTTACAGAATACTCTATGGAAGTGCAATTTCAACTTAAAATGCCATGTGAAATACATATCTTCGTACTTTATTGCAAAATGTAAGTTATGCAGCTGTTTAAAAGTGCTTTCGTTTAGATTTGCATTAAATTATCTTCAAAGACAATTTTGTTTCCAACACAGTCAATGGTACAAAGAAATAATTTTGGATCTTTGACTTCATAATCTTGCAGAGATGGAAATAACTGCCAAAATGTGTATCAGGAAAGGCTATGAAATATTTGGCCACTCACTGGTTCATTTTGTGCATTTTATTAATTTTGTCAATCAGCATTATCTACCTAATACATACATCTCATTATTGCAGACTCTTCACACATACTGGTTTCCACAAGAAATTTGTAAACAAACACTTTTGATTCTGATTCAGATGTATATTATACATTTGACTGTATCCTAGGGAGGCAGTGTGGCTAGATTTTGTAGCATACCTGAAAATTCGTTGGGTTTTGCAGAAGAAACCACCCAAACAAACACATTTTGTTTTATGGAAGAGATCATCCCATTGCCTGCCTCCCCATTTTATATTCATAAATCCTCTTGCATTTAACTGACTTCAGATTTAGCTATGTCTTCCTCTGATTCCTCACATTTCAGAATGAGAATGTAAAACTATTTTCTAGGTAATTGCTTTAGAACAGAATTGGGCATCATGTAGGCCTGTGAATGTTACTGAACTGCACCTCTCGTCATCCTTCTGTAGGTTAACAAAAGAGCTGATGGCAGTTGTAGTTCAGTGACATCTAAGTAGCCTACACTGTTTTAGAGACAATCTACAAGAAAGGAAGTATCTTGAGCAATGAAGAGGAATTTGTGTTTATGCTTGCACGGACTCCATGATAATCTCCATCAGAACAGCCAAGTAGAAAAACTTGAATTGCTCCAGCAAAAGGAAGTAAGCCAACCTCCTTAATTTGAAGGATCCTCACAGAGGCATAAGATGGAAGAAGTGTGTGTCATTCAGTGTTTGGCCACTGAATGTTTTGAATTTGTGCAGCTCAAGCATAATGTGAGAGGCTGTGATTACACAGATGAAGGAAATTTCTCTGGAGTTTCTAAGTAACAGAACCAAAAGTATAATTTCTTAAGATCACATCTGATTGATGGTTTCATATAGATGGGTGCTCTTATTCTCCGATTTGACATCCCCCAGCACTCACATTTTAAAAACCCACACAAAACAGAAGCAACAATTTAGAGCATTTTACCTGACAACTAGCTAACCATACCTGATGTTATCTAGATCCAAGGACAAAAGCAAAACCTACAAAGAAAAGAGATCAAGATACAAAAACTGGAGAGTGCCACATTTCTCTTCAACGGCCAATATTCTGCTGCACAGTTGCACTAATGGAAGGCAACAATATACTGTACAGCAGCTTTTTTACTAGCATTTAATGAGTCCCAGTGTGGATGTTCAGGTGTGCATTCCAACCCAAGTGGGGACTCAAGACTAGGAAGCTGCAGTAAGTTACCCTGTTTATCTTCTGCAGGTGCAATGAAGCAAGAAGATTTTGGTCAATAGATTAGCTGAAATTTATCTTCTGCAGGTGCAATGAAGCAAGAAAATTTTTGGTCAATAGATTAGCTGAAATATAATGTCACTGAACCAATAACTTTGGTTCTCTTGTATAAAAAAAGAGTGCATGTTATTGCAGACATACATATATCAGTTTTGTTCTACAATTATAACTTCACTTCCAGTTTAAGAAATGAAAGCTACTGTCTACCGTATAATATCTATTAAGGCATCCCATGTGGTGGAAACAGGGTTGGGTGAGAAAGTTCCATCTTCATACAGAGACCTTCATGTGTCGACGGCAAAGGATGAACACGATTAGAAATTCTACACAATGGGCAACCCTCTACATGTGAAAGTTTCAGTGTGTTCACGGAGCGCAGCTTAAAAAAAACCTTCTGAACTCTTCCTCAGCAGATCAGAAAGCAAAAATAGAATGGAGTCACTAGGGGGCTGGTATGTATACCCTCCCAATGCACACACTTCCTCTGCACAGGTATTGTTTGAACATCCAAATAATTCTTCCATGGCTTCTCTCCGATGCAAAATTCGCACCAAAAGGGACATGTATAAGTTCTGGTGAAGGAACTGGAAGCAACAACTTTTCCTTTTGTATATACTGCCCAACTAGAGGGTTCTAAAAACAAACTATGAATTTATTGCCACATGGAATTTGGACTATTAGGGAGATTTCAGTCATATCACTCTTTTCACCTGCCAATTTGATGGTTGACTTAAATGCTCCATCAGATGTGATACATTGGAATCTGACCTCAAAGCCTCCTTCAGACATTTTTTTTCAGTACCTATTTTTAAAGAGCTACATTCTAAGTACATACGGAGCACGTAGTTTCAATTCTACACACACATGTCAGTATAGTCATCATTTCCTCTCTTCTCTTGAAACAAACAATGAGGTAAATAAAATGTGATGGCCTTGAGGAAATACAATTTATTCCATAATACAGCTTACAATTTCTCTGGATAGTTTAAAGAAAAAAAAGCTCCTTTTTAAAATTACAACTTCAGTTTCTCCCAAACATTCTGGATGTTGTAACCCAAAAACAATATTCCTTTTTTGCTCTGGCTTAGCACCATCCTCATAAACCTTCTAGAATCAATTTGTATGTGGTAAAGAAAGATATAGCACACCTTCACACTTCTTGCTGTCACATCTGAAATTCGGAGCACATCATCTGAATATTTGCTATTCATGGCTTTCCACCTGATCTGGTCATTTATTATTTTTAGGGACAGAAGGGTCTGAGTCCTCTTAAGATACGACACACAAGCTGGACCTTGTTCATCTGTCAATACATACGGTTACACAATAAATAAACCTCATTTGCCGTTATTACTGGTAATGTAGGATGGCTTACGCTGGTCTCATCATAAGTGAGGTTTTAAGAGGAAGCTGGAAGTATGGGAACAGGGATGTTCGTTTCTTGGAACAAAGCTGAGACGTCACTCCTGTACACAAATCAAGAGCCTGGAAAAGTTACCTCTTTGAACTACAATTTTAGAATTCCCCAAGCTGCTTTGTATTGGCCATGCTGCAGGGGGCATTTCTGCAAGCAGTAACCTAAAAAGGCAATTTCCCAAGTTCTGTAAATAAGATAAGGCTGATATTAACGCATTTATTCAGACAGCTGCTCAGGAACATCACCTCTATCTATTTGAAAGTATGACCTTTAGATTTTAATATAATTTTCAGGCATGTCTGGGCTATAGCCTAAAATCTAATCTGCTGGATTCAACAGCAGCTTCAATAGAACTTTTGTGGAAACTGCTTTCTAAAATAAATGAATGTCAAGTCTAGGATGTAGGGCTTACTGCAAAGCAAACAGCTGTATTTCTCTGCCTCCATTAAATCAACAGTTCATAACTTTGGGGAAATGGTACTGTTCAAGCAGATGGTAGTTGCACAGAGGCTGCTGGAAGTGGGACTGCGTGGCAGCCCATGTATATACAGCTGCACCAATGCTGGGCAGTGACTGTTTCATATGGGAAATGGTCTGGGATAATTTTTTCACACAACCAGAGAAAATCCACATGATTACTTCTAAATGAGAGGAAAGTGGATGTGAGGCTCCCCATGCTCAGTTTGTAAACCAATCCTGGATTACTTTGTATTGAAATGACATTTCTCTACCTGGGAGCTGGAACATGAGAATCACATTCTTTCAAATGTGATGGCCCAAATCCTGCTGTATAGTTACACCAGTGGAAGGGAAATGGCATAACTCATTTGATGCTTCACTGTGTGTCCACCCCATGGCTTGGAGCATGGCCAGTAATAAAAGCAGTCATTTGTTGCCTTATTCCCCGCCCTGGTGCAGTAACTATGTGTAATGTTTCCCTTTATTAGGTCAATGGTTCATGTTTTGTTATGTAATTGTTCATGTATATTCATGTTGCTGAGAGGTGGAGCCGAGAGAGATGCTATAAGAGGCAGAGTCAGAGTGAGTCAGGAAGGTCAGAGAGAGAGTTTTGGAGAGAGAAGTAGATAGAGTGTGGAGTTTGGGGAATTCTGAGGTGTGATTAAAGTTAGGAGTGTATTATCAAACAGAAGATTGTTGTTAATTTTAAATTTACCTAAAGAAGATATTCATAAATCACTATCAATTTCTGTAATCAATAAACAAAAGCTATATTTAAAAGACTTTGAAGTGTGGACCTGAATCTTCATCTTCCTGAAGTAATGGTGATTTAGTGATCACCTGGTGGCAGCAATGTAAAAGACGAGATTGTTTGCCTTCATGTGCTCTGAGTCTTAACGGTCAAGTAAGGGGCATGAGGGAGAACGCCACAATTGGTGTCCAGCGGCGGGATATGAAGAAATCCAGTGAAGCCTGAGTTTGGATACGAAGAAATCCAGTCAAGCCTGAGTTTAAAAAGAATTTTTCTTGAGTCAAGGGTACCTTTTAGACAGAGGTCTGTGGCAAAGAACATTGGTTCCTCACTGGAGCTTTTGGGAAAAGCTTAGTGGTAGGGGCTTCTGAACCCAGATTTTGGGGTGTGTGTGTCTAAGATAGGGAACAACTCAGAGAGATAATTCCTGTATTTACCTCAAGATTTGAAGACCCAGTGGGCTAGCTTAAGGCTCAAGGCTCTAAGAGTTTAGAAAGCACTTGTGGAAAACAGAAGCCAGGGGTCAGAGCAGATCTGAGGGAAGAGAAGAGAAAGCCAAGGCTTCAAATAGAAATCATTTAAGTGACTGGAAGTAAAAGAAGGAAGACAGGTCCATTATAAAATCAGTAGAAACACACTCTAGGAAAAGTCACTCAGATAAATATGCCTCCCAAAGGATCTAAAAGACTAGTAATAGTGGAAACTGAGTCTCAAGAGGCACAAAGCTTGGTACCTCAG